CAAATTTGTGTTTCCTTGCTATTGTTAAAAACGAAAAGAATGGAATTTTCCAACCTGAACATAAGGTTTCACTTCAACCTTTTTAATTTTAAAATATAGTAGGTAGGGTTACAGTCGTGTGCGTATAAATTTGCTTGTGCATTCCGGATCTGCTGTAACATTTTTTCGTGGTGCAAATTGTCACTTTTAATAATCTTTTTCGGGCTGTATTAATCAGGGCGTGACCTTGAGTTTTTTTTTTGTGATTCGGATATACATGTACTTGTTTTGAAAGAAAGAAAGAAAGAAAGAAAGAAAACATTTATTGCTCAAATACGCCACATGTACATTTAAACCATAAACATAAAAAATACATAGATAGTAAAAAGAAAAAAAGAAAATAAAAAAAAAAAGAATACAAAAAAAAATATTAAACACATCACACATTTTACGCACACAAGTGTGTGTGGCGTACACGGCAAACAGACCGCACTCAGCTTAATGCCGCAGTCGATACGAGACTACAGCGCTGGTTTTCAGTGGGCCTGTGAATTAAGTGACGTTTTTGTGAAGTGAGTTTTGGTTGCTTAAGTTCAGCATGCTCACTTCTTGTGCGTCTATTAGTTTTCTGTGCGTAATTATTCTAAACCAGCCTACATTGCGCTACCAAGTCGTTATATAACAGTAAAATCACAATTAAACCTCACAAACGGATTATAAGCTGCGACACGAGGTAAATAATTGCAATAAAACAATCGTAACCTTATTATTGGTTAAAACTATAAATATATAAACGTTGTATTAATTTGTTTTGATACGATGTTAACGATTTTGTACTGTTTCCATTTTACTAAAAAACCTGCTATTACCTCAAAATAACACTCACTTTTGTACCTCATTTAGTGATAAACATCTAATGAAATTAGTTTACTTGAAAAAAAGTCATAAATTACATGTCATTACCATAATAATATTGTATTAATAAATATTGTATAAAATTACTTACGCCTTTTATATAAAAACTGTGACTCGCCACGGCTTCGCTTGGATTAAATATTTTAATGTGGCGTTTTAGGTTTAAGAAAATGAAAGACCATTTTTTGTTCAATTATCCATTTTTCCAAAAAAGTCTTTAAGCCTTCCGGGCAAAATATGTAGATTAGCCCGGACAGATAGAAAGACAAAACTTTTAAAAATGTTTATTTATGTTTTAATAGCATTTAAGTAACCCCTGAACTAAATAAAAGTAAGTTATTACAATATTACAGACAGACGCTTCAATTTTATTTATTTATATAGAACTACTTTACGAAAACTCTTAGTGTAACTCCTAAATGTAGTACGCGTGGTAGAGTCATTTTCTCACAGAATACCAGCATGAAATAGCAGCTTAATGCTGCTGTTTCGTATTGTGAGTATAGAGAACTGGAGTCCCTTATTACTGGAAACGAGGCTTGTTGTCCTCAGGGGTGACAACGCATCTGCATTTTGATTCTTACTCGAGGTTAAAGGTATATGTCTATGGGTCACAGCATCCTCTTACTATCAGGTGGACTATGTGCTCGTTTATCACCCTTATTCTTTAAAAAATATATATTAACCGTCTTATTACAAAACGTTGTTTACTGATAGTCCCGGGTTTAAATTACGATTTAAGAAAAGGATTTTTCACGTAAAAAGTCCCGCAACCGCTTCTGCTATGCCACAGTCATCGCGTAAATTGACATTTGCAGTCAAATTCTGTACTTTACATTATGGTATAGCTTGCATATTTTCCGCGGCACTTTCTTTTTAACGCGCTTTTATTAGCTTCGCGTTACCTATCAATCTATCTATCTATTTATCTATCTAACTATCTATGTAACGGAATCTTTTAATGTAATTTTCACCAATGTAGACGGCCGATTGACTTCAAAATTTGCACTCGTATCAAAGACCGACGACAATACAAAAAGTAATAACTTTATTTTAGTATCCCGATCAGTATCAACAGGATAAAATAAAATAACAGGATCATTACAGCTCATGATGAATGCGTGTTGTTTAACTTTTTTTTAAACTCTTTTATTATTTTTATTTGAAACAGACCCTAGCTTGAAAAAGTAGGTTATGATTAGCCTGAGACTCATCATACACTACTTTTTGTAAAATGCAATGGTTGATGTTAAACGACAAACAAAATAATTATATTAAAAACAATAATAACATTCAATTTATATATATATATATATATATATATATATATATATATATATATATATACCTAGTCAGGTCATAAATTCTGTCACATGTTTAATATAAAATAATTGAAACAAGTTTATTCATTATGGAACCATAATGAATAAACTTATATACTAAAATGAACTTAACAAAACATAGATTCTTATGACACTAAAGTTTATTCAAAATGACCTCCGTGATTTTGAATACAGGCCTTCAATCTGCGCGGCCAGTCGTCTATCGCAGCACGAACGAGGTCCATGTCAATATCGGCGGCTGCCTTAATCAAGGATGTCTTGAGTGACTCCAAATTGGGATGAGGCTTTGAGCACGTCTTTTCCTCCAAGTGTTGCCATATCTTGTAATCTAACTGATTCAAATCTGGACTGGAGGAGGGCCAGTCTTCGTGCCGGATGAAGTCGATTTCACGCGCCGCCAGCCAGTCTTGTGTGCTCTTCGCTCTATGAGCTGGCGCCGAATCTTGTTAGAATACCAGTGCCTGTTATTGAACATGGTATGAGAAACAGGTTCCACAAGGTTCGTCAGGACTGTATTTTGATACACAACTGCATTCGATTTTACACCTTTCTCACAAAAATGTACCTCTGTTAAGCCCTAATAAGAAACTCCCAACCATACCATGAGCGAGGATGGGAAATGACCTCGTTGGACACGCGGAATACGGTTGCTCGCTTCTTCACTACTGTGTGCGTACACCTTATCATTTTGTTTGTTGTAGCTCTCTTCTACGGTAAAAATTTTTTCATCCGAAAAAAGAATTTCCCGATATTTTTTTCCCGCGTACCGCTTCAACAAAGCGCGGCATCTCTTCAGTATCAGGTCCATTAGACGAGCATTCAAACGATGTCCTGTTTTTCTTCGATATGCTCGAAGCCCTAAGTCTTCATTTAACACCCTTTTCACCGTGGTTCTGCTTAACCCCATCTGAAGGGCCAACAGTTTCTGCTTACGTTTGGGATTTCTTTGAATTCGCGCCTTCACAGCTTTTATCACTGCTGGAGTCCTAATAGACCGAGGGCGACCACTTCTTGACCTGTCATCTACATTAGAGTCTTCTTTGTATCGTTTGATGGTACGATAAACGAATCTTTTGGTTATATTCAAAACTTTCAGTGTGTCAAAAATTTGAATTGGCGCGTAACCGCAACGATGCAACGCAATAACATGATCTTCTTTAAGCGTCCACTCCATATTTAAAAATGAGTAAAATTCTAAAAAGTATACAGTTTTATTTTCATGAACAATTCGAAATTCGAATTCAATAAACTTTTTTGTGGCCAGTATTCTAAAAGAAAAGTTTTTACTGTGTGACAATACTTATGACCTGACTAGGTATATAATAACATTCCATTCAATACGCTATTTTAAACCCCATTCAACGAATTTGCGAATTAAACTATTTAAACAAATTTACAATTAAACATGATTTTATAAATATATGTACAGAAAATTCAAATCTTAATCAGCAATAATGAAACAGAATTTAGTGTCTACTAAATATTAAATCAATAGATATTTATATGATAATAGATTTTATAACAGGATATATATAAAAGCCTTTGCTATACCTATTCACGAATTAAAAAAATATTTTGTCTTTATATTTTTTAGTGTATATCTAAATAAAAATATTTATTAAAGATCTATACAGAACAGTAAAGATATATACAATATTAGCTCAGTAAACGTCCATAACATATGGAATTGAGACGTGGTCCTTCAATACTGGCCGGATGAGGAAGCTCAAGGTCGCTCAGCGAGCTATGGAGAGGGCTATGCTCGGAGTTTCTCTGCGTGATAAACTTAAGAATGAGGATATCCGCAGTAGAACCAGACTAACCGACATAGCCCAACAGATTAGTAAGCTGAAGTGGCAGTGGGCCGGCCATATAGCTCGAAGAACCGACAACCGATGGGGAAGAAAGGTTCTCGAGTGGCAGCCTCGTACCGGTAGGCGAAGTGTAGGGCGTCCCCCCACGAGATGGAGTGACGACCTGGTAAGACATGCAGGAAGTCGATGGATGCAGGTGGCTCAGGACCGTGCTTTGTGGCATACTTTGGGGGAGGCCTATGTTCAGCAGTGGACTTGTGAAGGGCTGTAATAATGATGATGATGAAACGCCCCCTAAGTAAAAGACAACAGAGTGAAATTGAAACAGGAGATTAGCAGCAGTAGCAACTATGAGAAAATCCTCCCTGTGAAGCTATCTATGGGGGAGGCCTATATTCAGCAGTATACTTTTATAGGCTGTAACGAATGGATGATTGGATGGATCAATTGAAACGAATTATAATAGCAGTTACAACGTTACGGTGCGTACACCTTATATAACATAGCGTGTTATATAACATGTTACAGTAACGTGGAGGCTGAATGTTATAAAACGTGTTATATAACGTGACACAAATGTTATATAACTCGAACGGCAGAACAACAAACGGCAATGTCATATAACATTGTTATATTGCATTGTTATTCTAATGTGTACAGTGTTGTTATATGTTGCAATGTTGAAAAACAATGTTGCATAATGTGGACGTGTTATAAAACAAAAGTTACACAACATGTTACTTAATCTGTACGTACCCTAAAACTATTAACAACGACAACGTCACTTTTTTGTTTTATAGGCACAATTTATTAACCCTATAGCCTTGTGAAAAATTATTTATTTACAATATATTTAAAAATTACTACACTGAAATAAAATTTCTATTGCCAAACAATAACCTAACGCCGACCTGTGTGAGTTTAACGATGAGTTTTAATTTGTTTACAGCTAATAACTGAGATCAACGTACATCTGGCGCTATTCCGCGATCTTTTAATTCACATCGGCCAGCCACCCGACTGTCCTGAACTACGTGAACGGGTGCGGCGATTGCGACGCGCCTGTGTCGAGACCACCAAGCAAACTAGCCAGCTTGTGCTGCCCACATGCAAAAAGTATGAAAACATTTACATTGACCTTGTCTATTATTTGATGATCTTTGTAGATATCAGTTCACGTCTATAGCACAAAAAATCTCTACTACGTTCTACTGATGTAGACCGATACGATGATTCGTAATAAACGTCGTTTTATATACAGTTTGTCCGAAAAGTCGACGTCAAGCTGGAATCGGGTGATAGGAAAAATCATAATAGTTACCAGAAAAATATTTAAAAAAATCTTAGTCATGTATTTTTTAAATTACAGTAATTTTTTTTGAAAAATGTATAACCTGTGATGGTTTTTTAGCTCCTTTAGGTACAATTCTTTTTGTGTAATCTTGGGTAGTTGTGTAACCTGTTATTTTTAATTCTTAGATAACTGCTCCAACTTAGAAGAAAATGTCACATTTATCCGAACCAAGAATGAAAAATTAATACTTCGCCCAATTTTAACTAACTGTACTGAAAAAAAAATTTACTACGGTTGTTTAGCAAGTAACCATAAAAGTTGACACATTTAATAGGGATTCTAAAATGGTATAGCACTTGCTATATTATTTCTTAGATTACAGGGTAAAAAATTTTCTTCAAGAATCCGAGTTTAAAAAAAATATTTTTATCTACTAAAAATTATTTTAGTGTAACCAAAGCTTGCCTTCAGAGTAACTAAGATTCCAGTTTTAGCGAGAGGAAGTATCATTCCATGAAGTGTGAGTGAGACAGATAGTGACGCTTTCGATTCAGATGCTAATGGGTGAGTGAGACAGATAGTGACGCTTTCGATTCAGATGCTAATGGGTAAGTGAGATAGATAGTAACGTTAATGTGTCAAATACCAAGAAAATCTTTTTATGAGGTGCAAGCGAGACTGATAGTGACGCCACTTTTTGAATGTTGGCACACGCAATGTAGATCAGTACGTTACGCTCCTTCGTTTACTACGCATCTTTCCGTATCCGTTCGTGTTATTTCGTACTTACCGACTTTTTTCTTCGCTTATTGGACTTGTTTGCTTGTGATTTGAATTTGGACAGTTTCGATCTTTTAACGACAACCTTAGCTTTTTCCTGGACTATAGTGTGATTGGGTAGTACTAACATGTCTGTGTACACCATACAGGAATATGCAAACATGCACTATATTTATGGGGAATGCAGAGGCAATGCTAATACTGCGGCTAGACTGTGTCGCGAGAGATATCAAAATGCTGATCGCTATCCAGATAATACCGTGTAGTGGCGGTTAAGAATATCCACTACCCCATATCTTCCCGTGGGTGTCGTAAAAGGCGACAAAGGGGAACAGGCAGGAGATGGGCAGCAGCATCTTCCTGATAATAGCCAAAATAACAATAAAAAAACTGCGGTTGCCAACCCGCTCGCCAAGCGTGGCAACTATGGCAATATACCCCCCATGAGCAATGACAATAATAAACGGCCCCCAGTCCCCGGCGGCCCCGCTATTCCTGGCTACGGTGGCGACCATGGTAACGGCGGGGCAGGGGGTGCTAAGAATCTCCGGTAGAGGTTCGGTTGCCACCTACGACGACTCGACCTGGCAACATACAACGCACGCACCCTGAGGACTGACGAGAAGATTGTGGAGCTGGAAGAAGAGATAGACAAGTTACGCTGGCATATTATAGGATTATCCGAAGTCCGAAGAGAGGGGGAGGACACGGTAATCCTCGAATCCGGCAACTTGCTCTATTACCAGGAGGGCGACCATCTGTCCCAAGGAGGTGTCGGATTTATCGTCCACAAGTCTCTCGTTAACAACGTTGTAAAGATTGAGAGTGTGTCGACGAGGGTTGCGTACCTTATACTCAGAATCACCAAACGGTATTCGCTGAAGGTCATACAGGTTTACGCACCAACCTCGACACACACCGATCAGGAGGTGGATGAAATGTATGAGGATATCTCTAGAGCCATGCATTCCTCCGAAACCCAATATACGGTGTTAATGGGAGACTTCAATGCAAAACTAGGCACAAGAGAGAACGGTGAGCTGAAAGTAGGGAAATTTGGAATAGGGCAACGGAACCCAAGGGGCCAGCAGTTGGCTGACTTCATGGAGAAAGAGGGACTCTTTATGATGAACTCTTTCTTCCAGAAGCGGCCCCACAGGAAGTGGACCTGGTCGAGCCCCGACAGTTCGACAAAAAATGAGATTGACTTCATTATGACGACCAGACGACAACTGTTCAGTCATGTCTCAGTGATTGCGAGGATGAAAACCGGCAGCGATCACCGAATGGTTAGAGGCACACTGAACCTAAACGTTAAGTTGGAGAGGTCTCGTCTAATGAAGTCAACGCTCCGTCCCCCTCGTGCTCTGTTCCAAAGTCCCCAAACCTTTCAGCTCGAGTTACAAAACCGTTTTCAGTGCCTAGAAGACTGCAATGAAGTGGACGATTTGAATGACAAGCTCGTGGAAACTGTCCATGCGGTCGGAGCTAAGTTCTGCAAGACCCGCCGCATAAGAACACAAAAACTCTCCGATCACACTCTTAATCTCATGGCTGTTAGACGGGAGATGAAGCTACATTCTTCAACAGATTTGACAGCATACAGGCATCTGAACAGACAGATCTCCAAATGCATGCGGCGGGACTTACGCAACTTCAATACAGTTCGTATTGAAGAAGCCATCGAGCGGAACCAAGGCTCCAAAGTCTTTGCCAGAGATCTGTCTGCCAGAAAGCGCCAAATGTCAAAGCTGGAGACAGAATGTGGCAGCATCGTTTCCGGGGCACCTGAGATTTTGAGTGAGATTGAGAGGTTCTATGGGCAGCTGTACACGTCATCGTTGGAGCCGCACGCAAGTGTGAGTAACGATCCAAGAGCGAGTCTTATCCGACATTATTCCGATGATATCCCGGACGTCAGTCTGAGCGAGATTAGAATGGCTCTCCAGCACCTTAAAAACGGCAAAGCCCCAGGCGAGGATGGAATTACAGCGGAGCTTCTGAAAGCGGGTGGAAAACTGGTACTTGAAGTCCTTCAGAAGCTCTTTAATTCCGTCCTCCATGGTGGCATTACACCGGAGGCGTGGAGCAGAAGTGCGGTGGTCTTGTTCTTCAAGAAAGGCGACAACGCTCTCTTGAAGAACTACAGACCGATTTCCCTTCTGAGCCGCGTCTACGAGCTGTTTTCGAGAGTCATTACGAATCGTCGCGTCGCGCGCAGACTTGACAACTTCCAGCCTCCCGAACAAGCCGGTTTCCGAAAAGGCTTTAGCACCATAGACATACCCTTCGGCAAATTGTACAGAAGTCCGAGGAGTACAATTTGCCACTATGTCTGGCGTATGTGGACTATGAGAAAGCCTTTGATTCCGTCGAAATTTCGGCGGTGCTGCAGTCCCTTCAGCGATGCCAAGTTGACTGTCGGTATATCGAAGTGTTGAAGTGCTTGTACAGTAGGGCTACGATGGCTATCCGAGTACAGAACCAGAGTACGAAACCTATCCAATTGCAGAGAGGTGTAAGACAGGGTGACGTGATATCCCCGAAACTCTTTACCGCTGCATTGGAAGATGTTTTCAAGCTTCTGGACTGGAAAGGATTCGGTATCAACATCAATGGCGAGTACATCACTCACCTTCGATTTGCCGACGATATAGTTCTTATGGCAGAATCGCTGGAGGACCTAAGCACTATGCTCAATGACCTCAATAGTGTTTCCCAACGGATAGGTCTTAAGATGAACATGGACAAAACAAAGATCATGTTTAATGTCCATGTCACACCTATGCCGGTAGTTGTTGGGAACACTAAGCTCGAAGTTGTTGATGAGTATGTTTACCTGGGACAAATAGTCCGATTAGGTAAGTCCAACTTCGACCGAGAGGTCAATCGACGGATTCAACTCGGTTGGGCAGCGTTCGGGAAATTACGGCACATCTTCTCGTCAGGTATACCTCAAAACTTGAAAACGAGACTGTACACCCAGTGCGTGTTGCCAGTGATGACATACGGAACTGAGACGTGGTCCTTCACTACTGGCCGGATGAGGAAGCTCAAGGTCGCTCAGCGAGCTATGGAGAGGGCTATGCTCGGAGTTTCTCTACGTGATAAACTCAGAAATGAGGATATCCGCAGTAGAACTAGAGTGACCGACATAGCCCAACGGATTAGTAAGCTGAAGTGGCAATGGGCCGGCCATATAGCTCGAAGAACTGACAACCGATGGGGAAGAAAGGTTCTCGAGTGGCAACCTCGTACCGGCAGGCGAAGTGTAGGGCGTCCCCCTACTAGATGGAGTGACGACCTGGTAAGATATGCAGGAAGTCGATGGATGCAGGTGGCTCAGGACCGTGCTTTGTGGCATTCCTTGGGGGAGGCCTATGTTCAGCAGTGGACTTGTTAAGGGCTGTAATGATGAAATGATCCAGATAATCGAGTTTTTACAAATGTGCACCGTCTAATCTTTACTGAGAGCAGATATCGAAACCAAGTACATGGTGAGGGAAGAGGTTCGTTACCTTACGAGGACATAGTACTACAAGCAGTCGAAGAAGACCCAAGTATTTCGGTACGAGCAATTCAGGAAAGCACAGGAGTGCCCAAAAGTACAGCTCACTGAATTTTACAAAAAAATTAGTTACACCAGTAGCATGTACAGATAGTACAAACCTCGCTACCTCAAGATTATCAACGTCGGGTTGCGTTTTTCCAAACGATGCTACAAAGACACCGCGAAGACCCGCGATTCTTAGAAAAAAATTTGTGGACGGATGAATCGACATTTAAAAAAGACGGTTACATGAACCTACATGATTTACACGAGTGGCACGTAGAGAATCTGAATTAAATGAGACAAGACAGATCTCAATATCGTTTTAAAATAAACAAGTGAATTGAGATTTTAAACGGAAGAGTCAAAGGACCCTTTGAGTTGCCAGAGGTCTTGAATGCTGAAATTTATTAAGATTTTTTACAAATCTATTTACCTAATTTACTTGATGACATGCCACTAAGTATTTACAGAGAGATGTCTTAGCAGCAAGATGGCTGCCCAGCTCACTATGCCCGCTCCGTGACACAATATCTCAATGAAGAATATCCGGTCAGATAGATAGGGCGGTCTCGTACGATATCGTGGCCAGCCCGTTCCCCGGATCTAAATCCGTTAGATTTTTTTACTGGCGAGCAATGAAAGAGAAAGTTTATTTAAAGCCAATTGAAAATTTAGCTGAGCTTCGGCAAAAAATTACGGTAGCAGCTGAATTTGTCAAAAAACAGAAGATTTGCCCGTCTAATAACCAGGTCTTTTTTAACAAGATGTCGAGCTTGTATTGCAATTGAAGGAAAGCCATTTGAAAACCTTTTGTAAAAAAATCTCAGCATCCAAATAATTGTTGTTTAATTTAAACTTAAGGAAAATTTATCCTAAATTTAAGAAAAAGTATGCCTCAAATGCGTCACGATCTGTCTCACTCACACTTCATGGATTGATTCTTCCTCGCACTCAAAATTCTATATCTTAGTTACTCTCATGGCAAACTTTGGTTACACTAAAATAATTTTTAGTAGTAAAAAAGAATTTGATCAAAACTGGGATTCTTGAAGAAAAAATGCTTTTCCTGTAATCTAAGAAATAATGTAGCAAGTGCTATACCATTTTAGAATCCTTATTAAATGCGTCAATTTTTATAGTTACTTGCTAAACTGGCGTAGTTCATTTATTTCAGTACAGTCGGTTAAAGTTGGGCGAAGTATTATTTTTTTCATTCTTGGTTCGGTTAAATGTGACATTTTATTCTAAGTTGGAGCAGTTAGCTAAGAATTAAAAGCAACAGGTTATACAAGTACTAACCAAGATTACACAAAATAAATCGAAAAAAGTAAAAATTTGTAGCTAAAGGAGCTAAAAAACCATCAGAGGATGTACGTTTAAAAAAAATTACTGTAATTTAAAAAATACATGACTAAGATTTTTTTTATATTTTTCTGGTAATTATTATGATTTGTCCTATTAAGCGATTCCGACTTGACGTTGACTTTTAGGACATTCTGTATAAGAAGATGTATTTTTATTAAAAATATTTTATTTACAATGTTATATATTGGTATATGAATAGAATGTAATTTTGTTTAACTTGTGTAAGTTTGTATAAAACGGGAGCTAGAGATCTAGCTCTAGAGTTAAAAAACTGATAAAGACGATATTTCCATTTGATAATTCTGTAGTAAAACCCTTCCAGGGAAGTACGGTTGCAGCGGTTGCGATTATCTCCAACCCTTGCACATCCTCAGTATGCACAAATCTTCTTTACAATTTTGATTGAAAGACCGTTAAAAATATAATTTATATAATTTTATTTTTATATAATCAAATCAATTTATTCAACTAAGTAATGTTTGAAACTACACGGTTTAAAATTACCTTGGCAATTTGTTAACTTAATTCAAAATCGAAGCTCGCCTGTGGTCACCTGATACGTGTCTGTCTAGAATTAGATTAATGGTCCGAAACATCGAAATTAATTGCTCGCTACGTTATCCCTACTGGTATGTATAGAGCAAATTACAGTAGTATTGTATAATGTATATAATAGATTATAGTAATTGTGGTTTTTGAAAATTTGTTTAATATAATGCATTTAATCTTTATTAGGCAGTTTAAGTATTATGTCCGAAAATTTTTCGCATCAAATCAAAATTAAGATTGTAATATTTGTAAACGTCTTAAAAGCTTACTTCTTAAACTTACGTTTTAAGCTTATGAATGTAGCAATTGGAACAGTTGGAAGTGAAAATAACATACATATTTAAATATTTTATTATTGTTAAGTAAAATTTAATAAATATGTTTGTTTTTATGAAATTATAGTGAATAACCAAGTACCTATGTCTATCCGAGTAATGACGGCGTAAGAAAACCGACTAATCCATAACCCCATATCATGCCGTGGGTGTCGTCAAAAGTTACAGAGTGAAACTGAAACAGGAGATGGGCAGCAGCATCTTTCTGATAACAGCTTAAAATAATGCAAGCATGGCAACTATGACAAACATCCCGCTTACAAGGCAATCCATGGGAAAGGCCAATGTACTGCAGTGGATTTTGACAGGCTGTAATGATGTTGATGATAAACCAAATATCTATTATTATATGAAAGGATAAAATAATTGAGTCGATAAAGGTTATCATCAGATTAAATTTAATTATAAAGATATTTGATTTGATATTTTATTTCGTTGAAAATCATAAAACCACAACAAAATATATTCAAATTTAACATTGTAAAAGCTAAGTATTATACGTATGAGAACGACTGCAGACGAACCAAAAATCTGACTGTAACATTTTAAGAAATTAAAGATATACTTTCTTGATAAATACTCCTTTGATATAAACAGCAAATGTAATAAACATTTTTCGTATACAGGACAACAAGCGAGGGCTGTGCAGAGCAGCCTCAATTAGTTTTACTGTATTTTATGTCTCAGCTTCTGTTACGCGAGCTTGCCAAATGTCACCGCCTGGTTCAACTCGTTCCGATGGACATGACGTCGTATTATGGTAATACATTTTCGACTATAGATTACCCACTAAGAATATTGTCTTTTATATATAAAAATGAATATTTCTTTGTTTGTCTCGTATGTGTTCCTTATACCATTTATTCAATTACAAAAAAGAAATAAGAAATTAATATGTGACAAAGCTCCAATCTAGCCTAAGTTTTGACAATAATTTTAAAAGACATCAGATGTCTAATATTAGCACAGTCTAATATAGCTTAACACTCAGAGATTATCTTGCATACTATGTTGTAGTTCATGAAATAGCGCCTCAAGCGCCGCTTTAATATAATATATTAAAACGGCTTTTATCTCTGATTTACCACGGAAAATATATATTTGACTTTGCAAGTCTGCTTAGTAACCAAACTTGTTACTAGTCTTGCCGTGTGCTGCTGAATATTATTGTGCATTAAATGTTATCTTTTTTTTTTTGCTGACGAGTCAGAGCATTTTAATATTACTGGCTCGTCTTTAACTCATCGTAACTGCGCCATTTAGTGCCAGAAGCTTCTTGAAATATTGTCCACCTCACACCATTTCAGAGATACTGCGAACCTTTTACTTGATATTCGTCTTACTTAGTTCAGTTCATCGATAAAAAGTTTTCTGCTATTGGCGTTAAGCCAGTCATCTTGGCCGTAGCAATGTGACTAAGCGACAAAATAATAATATCGGCTTATTTGTTTGATAAAAAAGCGATGGTATAAAAAGTGGTAAAATCCGATTTTAACGCTTGCAAGTGTATAATATATTTATTTATAAGTTTTGCAATATATATATATATATATATTGCAATACTTGTCACTCAAGAGAATATAAAATTTATACAATATTGCTTCAATTAAAACTTTACTTGTTCACCATCTTGTGTAATTATCAATTATCGACTGCCTCGTTGGTCTAGTGGTTGTAGTAGTGCGACTACTTATCGTGAGGTCCCGAGTTTAAATCCTGGGTTGTGCCAAAAAAGTCAGTTATTGAGCTTTTCTATCAAGAAATTCTCAGTAGCTACCCGGAGTCGGGAAGTTGGCGGTATCTCAACCCCGTGCCTCGGAAAGCACGTAAAGCCGTTGGTCATGCGCCTGGTCTCTCTCCGGTCATATCGGTTTGCCGTCCCATCGGAACATGAGAGCGAAGGAATAGAGAGTGCACTTTTCCTTGCGCACTTGTGCATTATAATCCCGTCCTGCGCCGATGGCTAGCCTCCGTTGAGGCTGACCTCCGTGACCAAATTTCGGTCTGGAGGAAATAATTATCAATTTTGTGGGTTAAATTAATATTTAGCTACTAGCTAAATAGTATTGTTGTTAACATAAGGAAGAATACACCCAGTCTAATAAGTTATAATCTTTCAGGATATATACCAACTGGCAAATATTGGTGGGATTTATTCGTTGATTGATGATAAGTTAAGACTGAATAACCCTATCAAAACTTAACATCAGAATACTATTTTACTAAACGCCTATTACTGAAAAAAATAATATTACGAAACCAAATACATTTTAACTGATAAATTCCAAATAAATTTATAAATTAATTCCTTTCTACAGAAATAGTTTAAGGAAGTTTTTAAATTAGTTATTGTATGTATTTCAATATTTAAAACTTATAATTAAATATCCATTTAAATTAATACAAATATAATTTCATATAATTTTAGGCATACTATTTTTCGCCTAATATAAATATATTTTATTATACTTTGTACAGAGAACCGTGCTGGTCCTTCAAACTTCGGAAATGTGATAAGTCAAATATTACTGTGCAAACAAATCACACCCGACTTTAACCAAGAAGAGCTTTGTAGCATTGCAAAAGACACGCAAGATATCAACAGAATAGTTAATGATATTCAAGAGTACCTGCCACAACACGAAAATCTCAACCATTTAGGTATTGTTACAGTAATAATTACTCCTTTTACTTATGTGACTGTCTATTTTATTATAAATACTCTTATATTGTACAACATCTATGCGACCGCAACAGCACCAACAAACGCTACAAAACGCCATATTAGTTTTTCATCTTTTTAATTGAGAACGCTGCGTATCAGTAAAGATATATAAGCTATTTTATTTGATTTACTTATCAAGCATTTTACAAAAATATATATATATATATATATATATAAAAATACATTTGTTTCAGAGACTAACGTAGCACTTAAAGGTGATGATATGAATGGATTTTGGAGAAATAAGCGAAGAGGATCTCTTTACAAAGGTATGGGAGTCCTTTGTTGCGTGTCGCGACCGAATTATCTTTGAGGGTGACGAGTTTCGCCAACGGAGGGGCAAATCTTCAATGAGGAATTAGATATGACTAATACCTGAAGATTGTTTAAATGCCTTATGACAATCTTTACAAACCGTTTGAAGATATAAAGTGTTCGAAAACTATAAAAAATTGAAGTGATAAATGACAAGTATAATTTGTACCGCTTAGACGAAATGGGGTCCATTAGAATGCCTAGATAACTCATTACATCTTTAACATCTCGCCAATCAAATTTGCAGTGATAGATGTTTATGAAAATATTACAACTAATGTAAGTTCTATAAAAATAAGGTCTGTAACACTAAGAGATAATTGATAAATCCTTAATAATATTAAATACACAAAATCAATTGATTTAAAATAATAATTATAAAATCGTATTGCCTGGAACGGGATCAATTGCTTTAAGTACTAGGATGTAATTCAAATACTTTGTAAATTTTTTGCACATTAGGAATTTATCATTCTTTATTCTAATACTTTTTTAAATATCTTGGTTTGCTACTTATGCTCTAGATTAAAGTGTTTACATTAAGGTAGACCGCCATTTTTCCCCTCTACACTTAATTATTTGTTCTAGTTTATTTAGTTAATATATACCATTTTATAATTTTTTTTTTTTTTTGTAATAATTCTGTATGTGTTTTTCTGAACCATTATGTTTGGATTTATATTGTTCTTCCTTTGATTTAAATTTAGCAATCCTTGTATTCCATAAAAATGTGATACTTCTTTTTATTTAGTCTATTATGCCACGGGTTCCCAAAGTGTGCGCCTCGGCGCCTCCGTAGAGAATAAATAGGTAGCAGTGAGACCCTTCTGTTTACCTTCCTTCGGAAACTATACTTATGTATTTGCGGGTAAAATATACACCGGATTTTCGGCTGTAGCTGCAATAAAGAGAAAATATCGCTCTAAGATCAATCTGGAGCAAGAAATGAGAATATCGGTATCAAGTCTTATCCCATTCATTGAAAAAATGCGTGAAGATCTACAAGCTCACACGTCATATTGACTAAGTTGCCTGCGAACTAAAAAAGTTTGGGAACCCCTGTATCATGCTATTAACATTAACATTTTTCCATCACTAGAAGTTAACATGATAATACTGTCTTGTCTTCCAAAAAACTGACATTATTATATTATTAAATTATAAGCATATACAATATACATGTTTTACGTTAGCCAGTTCTGCTCCGACTTATTAAATTTCAATAAAGAGAAATTTCTTAGTGACTCATTTTATTACTCTCATCATTAGACATGTAGACAATTTAGACATAGCAAACATTCCAACATAATTATATTAGACTTGTCCAATAAATACGGGCTCATATTAAATTATACGATGGCCTAGTCAGAATCTTTGTTTTTTACTTAGTATGATATTCTAGTCAATTATAATAATGCTCTAAATAGTAGAAATTTAAGACTTTTGCATAATTTAGGTATGAAATATATTATAATATCAGGAATATTAGTATACCTATCTAAATAATATGCGATTAAATCGACGAAAATTATGTTATATTTCAGTTAAAATATGGATATTAAAATTAATTTTAATACATTTAATAATAGTATATAAAATTATTTCAATATGCAAAAAATAGATTAATATTTTAAATATATTCACTTCACTAATATTACAAAAACAAACACATTTTAAACTTTTAAATATCGTTATATTAACTTATTATCTATAACACCAAAAAGCATTTTTGCACCAAATCACCTAGTCAAAATGTAATTTTATTTTAATTTCAAAATATTGTAGAAAAATATATCATGTACCTATGTAAAATACAAAAGTAAATAGCTATTGTTAAAACTTATTATCTATTCAATTTGTAATTTCATATATATATAACATAGAATTACGGGTACATCCATACTTATACATACTATATTGAATATTGATGCACTTATTAAAGTGACGACTGTGATATAATTGTAAATTACTCTAGCAAAAGTGCATTTAGTAAACATATTTAAACTACTATTTGAAGTTTTATTTATTTATTTTATAAGTTTTAAAATAACTTTAACTATTTTAAAATGTTTATTTAACTAACCAAAATTTTAATTAATTAAAGTTGTTCAACGACCTAAGGAGATAGAGGGAACTACGCTCGAAGTTTCAAGTGGCGATTATAACCACAGTAGAATCAGAGAAAACAACATAGCGTGGCAATATGCAGACTAGTTAAAATAACGTTGTTAAACTTGTTCACTTACATTTCAAACCAGAAACTTGAGAAAGAGAAGAGTAAAAATACGTGCAAACACAAGGGTAAACGCAGGAATAATATAAGAACTTTTTTGCAAACCTCAAACTGCACTTGATGTACCCTACTGATTGACAGACAAGAAGAGACGACCGAATGATGGGGGAAAATCATCTTTTATTTTATTTTTTATTTACTTAACATAATTATTTAAATTTACACAATTTTTAAGTTTTACAGTCTGCCGAACTGCTCAGCAGTTGAATGGCTGAAGAAAAATGCTGTCTTACTTCCTAACACGTAAAAAAGACTTAATACAAATATACACTCTCAAATATAACAAATCAATAGTATCAATATATACATATACACATACACATATACATACACAGGTACACACCAATACATAATAACTACGACTTATATTGTTCTAAAAATGGCAACCCTAAATCTCACTATATTGACATTGCTAGTATGGGATAATAAATGGAGTGATCCTCGTCAGTTGGTGCATTCTTGGAAACGCCTATGTTTAGTAATGAATTTCTAAAGGCTGCAGAGAGGACGCACCGAAACAAAATTCGATACAAAAAAGAGTTGCAATACCTGTTAAGATCAGATTATACTTTGAATCCTCCCATTTTCTGTTGTGTGGGCAACTTTTTTAACGTGGCAGAGCCATGCTCCAGCTAGGGTGTAGGTATTATTATTGTAGTACGAATGAGTCGGCTCGACAGGGGTAGAATAGCGTCCTCACAGTATACCAGCGTAAAATAGCAACTCAATGCTGCTGTGTTTCTTATGGTGAGTGTAGAGAACCGGATACCATTTTCACTGGAAAGAGGCATTCCATCTTAGTCCTCAGACGTGACAACGCATCTGTATTTTGAATCTTAATTGATGATAAATGTCGATGCTTATGGAACTCAGCATCCCCTTACCATCAGATGGACAGTGTGCTCGTTTGTCAACCTTATTCTATATAAAAAAAAAACTTCAAATTGCATCCTTAAACAAGTGTTAGATAATACTCTTAACTATTTAAATAAATGAACACTACTTAGACTCTACGTTATAAAATATTCATGGAACGCATTAGTTGTAAATACAATATATATTCTAAAATAAATGATGTATGCAAACCAACAATCACGATGAAACATAGGTCGGCCTCACTGCAACGTCACCTTCTTTGATAGCACTAAAAGTATTACCCCGACAGACAGAATGACGACAATAATTGAGACTTGTTGAATGACCCACCGTCTGCCTGCGCAGTTCTTTATATGGCTTGAACGAGTGGGGGAGTTTAACTAATTATTAGTAATCTACCCTTACTCTTAACACAAGACAGTATTTCAGGCAGTTGTTATTTTGCGTTTCTAAAAAAACATGAAGTTTCTTTGTTCAGTAAGAGATACATCATCTTTAGGTATTACTTTTTTAAAGAAAAAAAAGGTATCATACCTATCAGGTATGGAACGGTATGTTGTAAAATAGTATAATTTCATAAGCAATTTGAAATCAACACAAAATAAATCATATAAAAAAACTTCTTTGAAATGATGAGATTAATAGATAGATATAGCTAGAGAAATCCTACGCAAAAGTGCGATATTGTTGGGTTGTAGCATATACGTGGTAGAACCATGCTGCAGCTATATTAGTAGTATAGTTCTAGCACCAATGGGTCGGCTCGACCGGGGAAGGACAACTGCTCTCACAGAATACCAGCGTAAAATAGCAGTTTAACACTGCTGTGTTTCGTATGGTGAGTGTAGAGAACCGGAGACCCTTTTTACTGGAAAAGAGGCATTCCATCTTATTCCTCACGGGTGACTACGCATCTGCATTTTGATTCGCAAACGAGGATAGATGTAGATGTTTATGGGCCACAGCAACCACTTACCATCAGGTGGACTGTGTGCTCGTTTGTCACTCGATCCTATATAAAAAAAAATAATATTATTTCCAAATACTACTTGAACTTGTGGCCAAAATCTTATATAAAATTATGACTTTGATTTTACGAAACGTTCGTTATTTCTCGACTTTTAAGCAAGCGAAGATGCGAACAAAGCTAGTATTAATATAATTTTGTTATTCATTTGAATCTCCTATGTTAGACGGTAATTAAAAGCCGTGGTAGCTCAGGGGCTAAACGCTCGCTGTAAATCTCACAGTACGCAAGCAACCCGGTACCAATTAAATTGTTAATTGCAATTTTAAGAGCTCGGCGGTGAAAGAGAACATCGAGAAGAAACCTGCATGTCTGTGAAATAAGAAAAAAATATTTTGAAGACATGGGAATTTTACCAATATGTATTGGGGCAGCGCGGCGGACCCTTTTTTGCCCAAAACCCTCTCAGAAAAGAGAGGAGGTCTGTGCCCAGCAGTGGGACGTACTCGTATATAGGCTGTAACTAAGATACAAACAACAGAGGTGAGCGTAATCAAGCAGAGCCTGTAAAAGAGTAAGCACGAATGAGAAAGAGCAATACATTCTGAAGTCATTTTCAATTCAAGAAAAAGAAATTTACAGCTCACTTCAGCGATAGCGACGGTAAAATAATTGTATTTACAAAAGTCATTATTCATCCATTTGACGTTGAAAAATGGATATCAAAATTTATAGTTAAATCGAACTTTTCACTATTTTAATAAACACGAAAAAATATAAACCACACATTATTTAATAGATTTTTATGCAATAAGTACTATTATTTATTTACATTTACACAACTATCTTAAATCTTAACTTA